CTATGTAGTATTTAATGTTAAGAAACATTACTGGTGCCAAGTATAGAAAACAGGAAAAATATTTGCACTAAAATTTCACAATGAAAAGAAAATAAACCAGGAATCAGTTTTTCCGTGACAGGTTGAAAACATACTTCTTTTTTTAAGACAGAGTCTCACCCTGTTGCCCAGGCTGGAGTGTAATGGCACGATCTTGGCTCACTGCAACCCCTGCCTCCCAGGTTCAAGCAATTCTCATGCCTCAGCCTCTCAAGCAGTTGGGATTACAGGCGTGTGTCACCACACCTCGCTAATTTTTGTATTTTTTAGTAGTGACGAGGTTTCCCCATGTTGGCCAGGCCAGTCTGGAGCTCCTGGCCTCAAGTGATCCGCCTGCCTCAGCCTCTCAAAGTGCTGGGATTACAGGAGTGAGCCACCGTGCCCAGCCTGAAAACATATTTCAAGATAAAGTATTATGTTCTCCCACTTGGCGATGGGGGCATGCACAGCAAATATTAAGGTTTAAATTCATCTGTGACAGTACTTTCATGGCTCTTTGATTTATCAGAGCCAAAGCATAGAAGCACTAGGTCTAAGATAAAACTTTTTTGTCCTTTGTTGTCAGTAGTGACATAGCTAAATTTGAGGTCTTGAGTAGGAACTGATCCCTGAAGAAAACCTTGCTGATAATGACATATAGTAATAATATGATATAGCAAATCTAACTAATTTAGTAGATGAAATATCATTTTAGTCAGTTAATGTTAGCATTAAGATTTGTGTGCTGTGAACAGATAAATATAATTTTGAAATTGTAGGATCCATGATGACCTTAAAAGAACGGTAGATCTTTGTCGAAAGGCTGAAGCAACAGGAGTTTCATGGATTACAGTCCATGGAAGAACTGCTGAAGAAAGACATCAGCCAGTGCACTACGATTCCATTAAAATAATTAAGGAAAATATGTCTATACCTGTGATTGCTAATGGAGACATCAGAAGCTTAAAGGAAGCAGAAAATGTGTGGCAGATTACTGGGACAGATGGTAAGAAATAAATACTTGGGTTCTTTTAATTGGGAAGAAATGAGAGTGGGGAAGTAATGTTAATTTGATTTTCATTTGTTTTGTTTAACATTAAGCCATATTTTCCCATTGTACTGTTTTAAGCTAAGCAATTTATTAAAATGATGTTAAGTTTTCTACCTGGAAAAACATGGATTATCTTAACTGGGATAAATTAATTCAATTACTTTTCTGACGCCATCATATCTAGTGACCAGTGAAGAATTTTCTAGATAGCCTACTAGTAAAATAAAGCACCTAGAAATGAGAGTAAGTGAACTCGAGAATGATAAGAGCTAAAAGAACCCCAGAACTGCTGTGCAGTTTCATTATTTCCTTAAATTATTGGCATGCCAAGCCCTGTGATTGCTAGATGGGAGAATATAGATAAACTGAACTTTAAGCAGCCCAATTTATGACAGTCTAGATTCACCCTAAAGAAAAACTAAAGACTAACTGTTTAATGTAAAAATCTTTAAAAAATAAAGATTTCTATAAGTACATTTAAACTTTCCTGGTTTACAAAAGGTACCAAAATTAATTCTTTTGTAATTGAATTAAACATACTAATGTAATAAAGGCATCACAAAACCTTGGTGATAATACTTTTTTTAAAAAATTCTGTTTGCTTCATTGAGCTTGAACTAATAACCAGGGGTTCTTAATGTATGGACAAATATGGTGTGCTTTAATTTGTAGGTGTGATGGTTGCAAGAGGACTCTTAGCAAACCCGGCCATGTTTGCTGGATATGAGGAAACCCCGCTGAAATGCATCTGGGACTGGGTTGATATTGCTCTTGAACTCGGGACTCCTTACATGTGTTTCCATCAACATTTAATGTACATGATGGAAAAGATAACTTCAAGGCAGGAAAAAAGGGTATTTAATGCTCTGTCAAGCACGTCAGCAATCATAGATTACCTTACAGACCATTATGGCATTTGACTAGACTTCCCAAATAATTTTAATATATACTTTTAGACCCACAGTGAAACCACAGGTCATATTTTGTACCTTAAACTAGTAGCTCCCAAATTTTAGTATAAAAACAATCCCTGGGAGCATTTTTTAACAATCAGTCATAGACTCCACCCTCAGAGATTCTGATTTAGTAGATCTGGGGTAGACCCAGAAATATGCAGTTTAAAGAAAACTCCCGGTAGTTCAGACATCCTCATCATCCTAGGCAAACACTGACAAATACTGCTCTGAGTACTGTTATATAGATATTAAGGGGATGGGTAGAGTGGGAGTTTTTTCCTAAAGGAATCATGTTTTATCATGTTTTTAACATTTTAAAATAAAATTTATTTCAATACTAAGAAAGTATGGCTCATGGTATCTATAAGTTAACAAGAAGTATGCAGGTGCAAAAAAGTGGTGGAACAAATACCAACATCCATCCAAAATGAAAAAGAACAGGAAATTCTGAATAGAATATCTTAAAAATTCCAATTGGTTAATGACATTAAATTTGGTACATTTCAAAACTTCTAGCTCCTCCAAAGATTGAAAGCTTAATAAATAATACCTGCTACCTAAAAAGATAAAATTAACTGCAATCTACCATATTTTAAGTATAGGAAATTTGATAGCCAAGCTGGAGATGATTATATATTTGAAATATTTCCTAGAGAATAGTAACCAGGTTTTGTTTTTAATTTTAAAACCTAATTTTCATACTCTCTGTTTAATGATATTACTTTTATGCCTCTCAGCAGTTGATTGTAACTTTAAAGTCCCATGGTTTGGGAGTGTTATTAATAGATTTTGTTACCGGTGGGCATGCACTGCAAGAATTAAGTATCTCAGACTGAAATAAAACAGTTCGTAATTAAAGTATTATTTATTTTGCCAACATGAAAACTGTTATAAGGAAATAATTATGTAAAACTGTTTACTTCGCGTTTGGGAATATTGAATGAATCCATTTTAACGTAAGCACCGTGGTGCCATCTTTTTTCTCAGTACATTCTGTTTTCACTTTTCAGTTAATGTATTTTTTTTAAAGATAACTGACTTTTTCATTTTCTATGAATACTGTACAAAATAGGGAGGTATGGTCAGAACTCTGAATTGAATTACCCTAGTGTTGTGAGCACAGCATCATCACTAGAGTAGTGTGCTCGGTGTTTGGAAGGAACCAGTGTGGAAGTTCTAACACTTTTGATTAAAAGTAACTTCCTGGCCGGGCGCGGTGGCTCACGCCTGTAATCCCAGCACTTTGGGAGGCCAAGGCTGGCAGATCACGAGGTCAGGAGATGGAGACCATCCTAGATAACATGGTGAAACCCCATCTCTACTAAAAATATAAAAAAATTAGCTGGGCGTGGTGGCGGGCACCTGTAGTCCCAGCTACTCGGGAGACTGAGGCAGGAGAATGGTGTGAACCTGGGAGGTGAAGCTTGCAGTGAGCCAAGATTGCACCACTGCACTCCAGCCTGGGCGACAGAGCAAGACTCGTCTCAAAAAAAAAAAAAAAAAGTTACTTCCTGGCTGGGCGCAGTGGCTCACACCTGTAATCCCAACAGTTTGGGAGGCCAAGGCAGACAGATCACTTGAGTCCAGGAGTTCGAGACCAGCCTGGCTAAAATGGTGAAACCCTGTCTCTACTAAAAATACAACAATTAGCTAGACATGGTGGCAGGCGCCTGTAATCCCAGCCACTCAGGAGACTGGGGCCAGAGAATCGCTTGAACCTGGGAGGCAGAGGCTACAGTGAGCCGAGATCGCACCGCCACAATACAACCTGGGTGACAGACAGAGGGAGACTCCATCTCAAAAAAAAAAAGAAAAAAAATCTTCCTTACAGTTATGTTCAAAGTCTGTGTTTTCTATTTTTCTGTTACACGTGATCCAGATTATTGGTGATAAATTCAGAAAAAGAACAAACTTAAATGTGTTTTTGAATGTTTTATATTCTATCATTATCCATTTTCAGCATTTGTTTACTATTCCCCAAGTAGTTGTAACCAGGATAGTACTTTTATTAAATTCCTGATACGTTGTCAATATTGAAAAAACTCTTCAACAATTTAAATGTACATGCACAGTTTGAAAAGCTGGAAAATAGTAATTAAAAGAATATCCCCATACCCACCTTTCGTACCAGTCCCCAAACATCACGCTAAAGTTTACTGCCTCTTGCCAGCCCATGGACGGCAATGGGAACGCCTACGGAATATGTTGTGATACTACAGTTGATCCTACCTTCTCCAGAACAAAATGCTGCACGACCACCTCATCCTGGCCCCTTATTAAATGATAGCTTAATTCTGGACACAAACAGTTCCCACTATAAAAAGAGAGGAGGTGACCGGAAAGGAGTGCGTCTTAAGCGCGTTGGCTAAATTTGCATCACCCAATCCAGCCCCGGCCCCCGGCCCGGCTCCCTAGACCTGCACCCCGCGCGCCCTCCAGCCGGGGCTGCACTTAGTCTGCCGTCCTAAAGAAGTTGCGCTACGATCCCCAAGCATCAGGTCAAAAGTCTAATTCATGCTCTGACTCCTCCGCCAATTAGAAAACAATTGTTGCCCATATACGTGGTCGCGCCGCCTGTGACTTCAGACGGGACGGGCCCGCGGGCGGGAAGCCTGCGGGGCGGGAGGCTGGGTGGGGCCCT